AGGCAGATGGATAAACTGTGGTACATCCAAACACTGGAATATTATTCAATACTAAAATTAAATGAGCAATCAAGCCATGAAAAGACAAGGAGGAAATTTAAATGTATATTATGAGAGAAAGAAATCCAAAAAAGCCACAAAAGGTGTACTTCCAACTATAAGACCTTCTTGAAAAGRCAAAACTATAGAGACAGTAAAAGGATCAGTGGTTGCCAAGGGTTGAAGGGAGGGAAGTATAAGCAGGTGAGCACAGAGGATCTTTAAAGACTACCCTATATAATATGCTAATAGGGGGTACATGTCATTATAAATTAGTTAATGCTGATAGAATATTTATCAAGAGTAATGTCATGTAAACTATGAATTCTGCATGATAATAATGTTTAATATAGGCTCACTGGTTGTAAAAAATGTACCAGTCTGGTGGGGAGTGTCAGTAATGGGGGAGATGGTGTATGTAGGGGAAAGAGATATCTCTGTACTTTCCATTCAAATTTACTGAGATTCTATAACTCTTCTAAAAATGAAAATGTTAAAAATACATTTTCCTTTTAGTTTTTCCATATATATATATATATATATATATATGAATTTTTATATATAATGCTTAGATCTGGGGAAAGGGCTTGAAATATTGTGGATTTTAGAAGAGGAACATCAGGAAGGCCATAACAGTTGGGGAATGAGACCCAATTGAATAGGTAGTGAACATCCATAAACATGATTTGGATAGATTCCTACTTTCTTTTAAATTTTAAATAAGTGTGCTCTATATTTCTCTATCAGTGATATAGGCTGCCTTACTCMTATTACTGTTTTTCTAAGAAAAGTTTAGTAAATTTAAAGGAGTACGACTAATGAATGACCATGTAGTTTGTAACTTCTGGTTTGGTTTACTGACAATAACTTTGCCAGGATACATTTTTTCTCATCTTTCAGCAGGTAGTACTTCATTTTTTTTCACCAGGGATTGAACYTAGGTACACTTAACCACTGAGCCACATCCTCAGCCTTTTAATATATATTTTATCTAGAGACAGGGTCTCACGGAGTTGCTCAGTATCTTGCTAAGTTGCTGAGGCTGGCTTTGAATTTGTGATCCTCCTGTCTCAGTGGCACGAGCTGTGGGGATTACAGGTGTGTGCCACCCTGCCCTGCTACTTCATGCATATATATATATTTTAGCTTTGACTCAGTATAAGTACTTTGGCCTTCTTGTATGTGAACTGGAAAGACAGGAGCAGTCCTCAAAGCTGGCCCTGAGACCTGGAAACTTGTTAGAAATACACATTCTCTCAGACCCCATTCCAGGTCTATGTTTTATCAAGCCCATCAGGCTATTCTAATGTACTTTGAAGTTTGAGAACCTCTGGCTTAAGAGGAGCTTCAATGGTAAAAGTAGAGAGATGAACTTGCTTAACACCCAAGTGCATTGGGAACCTGCTAGATTTGCAAATCTGAAGTGATGAGCTTTCTGTCAAAAGAGAAGATATGACTGCATTCTGTACTCTATTCTGCATTGTAACTCCCATTCAGAGATAGACTGTTAAATCCCAGATCACCTAGGAATTCTAAGACTAGCATAAGAGGTAGGTCGCACATATTTATCGAGAACTTAATATTTATGCCAGACTTTGAGTAACTCACTTTACTTACAGGATCTTGTATCCTGTTGAGCCAACTGTAAATTAGGTGTGGTTGCTTCTATGTTGCAAATACAGAGAGACTCATAATGATTCAGTAAATTTGCAGATTGCAATCCTCACAACTAGGAAGCAATAGGGCTGAATTCATATCTGGAAGGAAATGAGTAACAGGTGGTGTTTACACAGAGGATTTATTGTAATTGTTCAGGTTTAGGATTTAACCTCTTTGGTTTCAGGATGTCAACTTTAAAATAAAATGCACTCTAAGTTTTGTGAGTTTTTCTAGYGGTAACGAGTGCCTGCTTACGACCATTTAGACTAGAATCATTTCATCATATACTATAAAACTAGTATTGTTTCCCCAAAGGATGATTTTTATCAAAATRTAATGTTAGATGATGATGTTAGGATTCTAGAAACCGGGTTAATAGTTATTTTAAATTTGTTTTAAAAAATTAGAAAAAATTGTTTTTGATGAAATTTTCATGATTCTGAATACTTGGAACTGTTCCCTAGCTTTGTAAGAAATTAATTTTCCTATCACATTTTCTCTCTGCTTGACAGAACTATTTAAGAGTCAAATTTAAAATTTTACAGCAAAGTTATTAAGGCATATTTAAAATGTATAGCAAAATGKGAGGGTAAAATCAAATGACCAAGTGGTTATAGATATTGAATATTTGTTTGCTCTTACACGGTGAGCTGGAAGCTGGCTCATACCAACCCATGCAAGCCAAAGACTAAATGTTCAAGAATTTCGTAAGTCATTTGTTAAACAAAGCCATTACTTTAAATTATTAAATTGGAGTCTGGCATGGTGGCACATGCCTATAGTCTTAGCTGCTTGGGAGGCTGAGGCAGGAGGATTGCTTGAGCCCAGGAATCGAGATCCCGTCTGAAAAAAAAAAATTAAATTACTATACACAATTGATTGAATTAAGTTTAAGACAAAGGTAATAGTGCTCAAATTAATCACTTCCTAGTTATTTTTGCTACATTTTATTATTGTTGATGCTCTTGAGGTTATTTTTGTCTATTGTATGGATGTGGTGGAAATACTATAAAAATTAGTACTACTGTGCATTTATTCTCAACTCTGTATTCAGTAAAATTATACTGGTAAGTTTAATTCAGCCATGGTAGGAGTAAATACAACACAAATGTGAGCAAATGCTACAAATCAGGCTTCCCTTGATTCCAAAAGTGGTTTGTTAATCATTTATCAGCACATCACTTTTTATAATAAAGGCAAATTTAAAATAAAGACTTGATTTGAGTTCAAGTGTTGTGTTTTTATTAAAAAACCAAATCCAAATGATAGTGAGTTTAAGAATAGTATAAATTAGGGTAGAAGAAAGAAAATATACTCAAAGTATTTGAGTGGACAGTTTAATAAAGGTCTTATTTACAGAAGTGTGGGCAGGGTTAAGTTAGGCAGCCACAGGGATGCTGATGTCCTTGAGACTATGAACAACATGAAGTCATTGCTACCTCCATGCTTGCTTGGGCAAGGGAGGCAAAGGATTTATCCAGAAACTRCAAGAACTGAAACTGTGGAACCTGCAACAGTAGGACCTGTGGCCCAGATGGAATGCATCCCTGGCCAGAACCACAGCAAAGCAGGTGGGGCAGGGACAGCATCACCGACACTCACCAGCTTTTCTCTCCTACCTGGGCTGCACTTGGYCAATCATCCTGGAAGCCAAGGCAAGAGAGTCATTTCTGAAACATTCCTTAGTGGGGTATATAAGGGGGGCATCTTGAAACAGGGTTTTGATTATTTATGGAAGTTCTCTTAGAGACTGGGATCCTAATAGATTTTTATCACTTGTGGACTAATCTTAGAACCAAAATGAGCCTAAGGATAAAATTCTATTAGCTTTCAAAGAGAGGGATGCAGTGTGGGTCTATGATATTCTATCAACCAAGTAATGGAATTTTTCATGACAAGCATTAACTTTAGGTTATAGGGGCTTGCAGCCATTTTTAAGCAATGCCAAGTTGTGCTTGTGGAAGCCCTCAAGGATTTGAAATTCTGGTGTTCATATGGAACTTCCAAAGAAACTTATCTAGGACAATTACCTCAGAGTTGTTATGAGGACAATGAGGAACAGAATGTAAAGGAGTTATTGCACTTGATTTTAGCATTGCTAGAGGTCCCCGATATAGAATTTTACCAGGGCTCTTAACTATTCACAATGGAACAATCTAAAGGGATCTTGTTAGGAGTTATCTCTGGCTTGTTTGGGGACAAAATCTGTATTACATGTTGTGGTCTCTAAATATTGGTATCTAAATATGGATATTGGACTACATATAACAATTTCATATAGCATAACTTAATAACATAGTAATAGTTAATAAGTTATTAATATAGTTTTCCTTCCTCAGCTCCCATTAAGTTTCTTCAAAACCCTAGTCTATGAGATATTTTAAATTTTAAATGAAGATGTATTTTCTGTCAGTTATCTTCCAAGATTCCTAACTTTTAAGGCCATGAAATTCCCGGTCTCAGATGCATTTTTATAGACAATCCTAACATTACATAGATTGGCTCCTGGGATAGCTTCCCCATGCACCCTAGAGAAATGCACTCCAGGAGTAGAGTCTGCTCTTAGGAAGGGGCAGTGAGGATCTGAAGCTTATATTAAGCCCATGGTTCCCAGGAACTTCTGGGCTTGGTTTGGCATTCCTTGCCCAGATTTTATGAAAGCACACTTTCTCATCTTACTGAGTTTGCAAATGTGCCAAAAGAGCCCTGCTGGTCACTGTCACTTTTTGTTTTTGTTTTATCAGAGGGTAAAGGGACACAAGTGCACAGGCTTGCAGAATGCCAAGACGGTCTGGGCGCAGTTCCATTCTGTCACTGCTATTTTTCTCTTCTCAAGCCAACAAACATTTTCAAACTTTTTTTTTTTTTTAGAGCCCTGATTATCTCCAGGGTGAGTTATGGACACTTAACAAATCTTTGCATGTGCATAAAAGGACAAAGTCATCCTCACACTATATCAAGGATCTTGAGAAGGCTTGATGGTTAATATAGTGTAAATAATTATCCTATCATATTACATATGGAAATCTAAATTTTTCCTCTTTCTCCTAGTGTTTATGTCCTGATTKCAAAAGAAAAGCTATAATGATAGTAAGAACATGTAATTTATTCAGCATCTTGTTCTTAGCAGAGTTAACTGGTTTCATATTTAACAACATTAGAGGGGTCTTTCTTGAAAAAAAAAACCAACTTAAAATTTCAGAATGATTTTGCCATCTTGGTGGCAATGTCTATGTTAATGAGATGCATAATTTAAAAACAATATAGCAAAACAAACAAAAAACAACMAGACTGTTATTTATTAATACAAATTTATATAGTGGCATATGGTACTGGAGAAATCAGAAATTCATAACACACAAATTCATATTAGAAATACAAAAAAAATCATTTGAGGATCAAGAAATCAGGTTGACAGCACCACGAATGTTTTACTCAGTCTGAGCAGGTGTGTAGGATCCAAGAATAACAAATACCTATAGGAGTCTGAGACTGAATATCATAAAACTGTGCAAACACATTCCACACTATTTCCCATCCAACAATAGGGATCTGCAGGAGTCCTCCAGGAGGCCTGGGGTACTATAAAAGGGCAGCAAGGCAGAAAAATGGTTCAGACCATTATTTCTTTTAACCTTCACAGCCGGCATATGATAGTGAGTAGCAACCCCTGAGGGTTTTTTTGTTCCTTCTCACCTGAAGGCATGATATAAAAGGTTAGTAACACACACACACAAGGCATTAGTGAGCAAGTCAGAGAAATGGAAAGCAAAGCTTTCCTTGAAATATAATCCACGTTAGTCATCAAATTATCTGATCCCTAAGATGAAGCATAAAATGTAAATGAATTGAAMACTTCTACATCAAAGGGGTGAATCTCAACTCCCCATCTCTTAACAATTTCTATTTAACAAGTACGCATTCACTAGAGAAGTACTGACATTCCAAAATGTGTACATAACAGGGTGAAGGGCAGAAAGAAAGGGAGGCAGGAATATTGCAAGGCTTTCTCTTCACAAAATTCATCCCCTCCAGGTCCTCACCGATGTTGCCCTTGTCAATTTACACCCTGTGTGCGGAGGCTGCCAGGAGCACTGTTAGGCTTCCGTCTCCCTCCCCACACTAGTTTCATTCTGCCAACTGTCTGCAATCTCCCCAAACACATGTCCTATTCAGTAGTAATGGAAGGGGTGTGCAAGAAGAACATCTGAGCAAAAGAAATGTGCTGCTTTAATGTGTGAGCATCTTGGCACTCAGAGCAGTGACTAGTAACGGGCCAAATGGAATGCTGCTCTCCAGATGACTGGCTCCCTGTCCTTGCAGAATTAGCATGCACCCTCTAGGCTGTTCTGGAGAAGACTTCGTGCCAGGCTAATCAGCTCTCCAGCCGCGAGACACCAAGTCTGGATGTTCTGAAGCTGAGACAGAAGTTCTGCTTGAATGGCCCAAGCTGGTCTGAAGTAGCACCTCTCCAGCCAGAAATTTCTGGGCTCACCCCAATTCATCTTGAGAACCTTACACTCACCTCAGAACATGAAGTCAGACTTTGCCTTTAATCTCCTGTTCTGGGTACATTATTCAAACTTTCTGTTCATGCCTCCTAAGGATCACTGCCAGTCATGCCTAGGTAAAGCAGTGTTTCTTTGACCCAGTTAAGAGTGTCATTTCGTAATCCAAGTAAATTCTCTACTCACCCTTGTCATTTTGCCTACCATACTCTCTCACCTTCTCCTTCTAAATTTATTCCTCTCTCTCTCACCCATTGCACTGTTCACTCACTCACTCGACMAACACTTCTGGCGTGCATGCCTGTGACAGGTACTGCGGAAGAATGAAAAGGTGTGGCTCATGGAGGTCCTGCTCTCAAGGAGCTTGGAGTCTGATAGAGCTGCCTAAAACTTTTCATGGTTCATTCTGTTTAGGTTTGAGTACCATGGTGTTTCCAGTCTGGAATGTTCTCAAAGAGCTTGACTCAGAAATTCTAACACAAACATTACMCAATGTGAACGGTCTGTCATTTGCTCAGTGACGATGGCTTGCCATGCATCAGGAAGAGAGCATGTGTTTTACTCTTGAATAATGAAACTGTGCCTCCAGTTCAAAACAACATGTCATGCATGCTTATGTTTTTGCCAATAAGGCAGAAATAAAAGAGAAGCAAAGGCAAACCGTGAGCACACCACACACAAAATAGGTACGCTGATATGTGAAATTATTTTAAAGCCACATGTTTATGGCCTTGTCATGTGCTGATATGGTAAAAATTAGTGCCTGAGCTACCAGAAAAGAACCCCCAGAGAGAAATCCCTGAAATCCTGCATCAGGGACAGTGCCTGCATCTCCTGGGTGACAGACAGCAAGAGGACCAATGTACATCTGTTTATTCTGATTTCACTCCAATGTGGGCTTCCTCTTGTTTTATTCAAATAAATCACTTACTTCCCTAAAATGCTAACAAAATTAAATACACACTATTAGCAAAGCATGTGTGCTTGTCTATTACTGGACTCGGCAAAGCCTGGGGTAGCAGGAAAGTATGGTTCATGTTTTTTAGGCATCCATGGCATATAAAGGCCAGGGTGCACTAGATCTGTTGTGCAGCATCCTGCTTCAAGACCAGGTCCCTACATTCTCCAGGTCAGTCCTCTCCCCTTTGTAAATACTTGCAGAGAAGCCCTCTAGTATGAAGCACATGGAGACCCCTAGTTGTGTAAAAGACTCTGGAAAAAGCAAAATGTACTCAGAGGTCATGGCAACTAGGTCATCAGGAGGAAACAATGTTCAAATAGAGCTGTTGTGCTGATCAGTAGATTTTTGAATGGAATCTGGGTGTCAGCAATTGGTACTCTATTGTCCAGAGTCCATGAAAAGCCCAAGAAGGAGAATACTGGAGGAGGGGGAGGAAGCCAAAGGTCCTATATCCCACTCACTCTCGGGGAGATCTGCCACATCCTCTGAACTCTATCAGCTACCCTAATTGTCCAACACCTGTCCTAATGCTAAAACACTTGCTTCAAAGCTCAGCCTTTCACAGGTACTCTTAGTAGCTGCTGAGACTGTGAAAGGGGTCCACAGACTACCTCTGCTACAGTACTCTGGGGGTCTCAGTGGTTCTTTGTTTCACGAGGTAGCTCAGTTGAGTTGATGTGTGTGATGTGTGCCGTCCGCCACTCAAAGCTATAGTTTTCCCTTTTTTTAAGTCTGCGAGATTATAAAAATACCAGTATTTCCCCGTTTTATAAAAATGATTTTAGATAAAAATACACATGGGTCTCCTCCATTAAACTTCCGTTCCATCTTGTAAATTGTTGTGGACTCTGACTTCCAGATTCAATTTTTTTACTTTAGCACCTTTGAAGGGGTAGGCCCCCTCCGTGTCACTCAGKATGTTGACATTCCGCACAGTGCAGTACTGTCTGTTCACGTTCTTCTCCACCCTGTCCTGGTTCCTCTTGGGCACATCCACCTTGGTGTTCAGAGGGTATTCTTCCAAAATGTCCTCTGTGGGCTGTTTCTTCCTCTGCTTCTGGCATTTTCTCGTGATGAAGCAAGCCACCAGAAACAGCAGAAGTAGAAGCATGATTGCAGCCAGGGCGCTGCCAATGGACGCCCCAGTTTGGGACAGAGAAGCAGCCACAATTGGCTCTTGCATCTCCAGATTTAGGGACTTCATATTGGTGCCATTCTTGATTTGGTCCCCTTCGTTGTCATAGATGAGGGAATCGTCAAGGGTCAGCCAGCCACTGGGGTCCACCAGGTCCCTTCGGTGGCGCCTCAGGGGGGCTGTGAGAGAACGCTGGACCCGGGGTCCGGAGATGGTGTCTGGGCCAATGATGTAGATCACCTGGAGATACCACTGGTGTCCTGCTTCCACCTGCAGGAGGAAGGACACAGGGAGACAAACTACATATGTCACTGTTGCCCACGGACCATGTCTGAAGAAAGGAAATGGAAAGACAGTTGCCACCATATGATTAGATAGAAAAATGGTTTCAAGAAAAGCATTAGCAATGGTTAAGCATCTTCTAAAACACAGAGGACTGAATCAACCATTATGGGGTTTCTCTTATTTCYAAATTAGGATGATTTTTGGTTCAGSTAATCACATTCTTCTCTGTTTCTCTACCAGTACATGGAATAGCCTAAAAACTTATTTTTCATGGTTTCTTTAGCTAAGTGAATGCTTATGAGTTATTGGTCTTTATTGATGGTAGTGACATAATTTTATTAATAATCACAGTGACCTTCAATTGTTCACTATGCTAATTTAGTATTTATGATGAACTTTAGCTAAAATGGAGCATTCAACAAATACTTGACACCCATTTCTGACAGATTCTTGACAAAATAGGCTACATCTGAATACTTCCTGGATTGTCCCCTGAGAAGTTAGATCGTCAAGTATTTTATTCCCTTTCATCTGCCCCCACTGAAACCCTCCACGGTTTTGAAATAACTTCTGAAGAGTGATTATTAATAGTGCCAAAATCCAAGGTCATGCATTACTATTTGGAAACAGCAAAACAGTGAAACTTGATCTCGGAAATTCATGTTTATTGCTGGAACTTAGGGTAGTTCCATTTAATGGATACTAGTCACTCTAGCCATTCTAAGTAGCGGTATTGTGTTTATGATTTTGTTCAATGTTTTCCATGTGTCTGTGAAAATGAGCTGGTTCAGCAGAGAGTCACAGAGGTAAGCAATTCAAAAGAATTTAGGAAGGACTAGAGCATCATATGTAGACCAGGCACATATATGACAGGTACTGTATGCAAATTAAATAACTTTATCATTGCTTTGGTCTACTGAGGATAGATGGTGAAATTCTGGGGTGAACAATAAGCTTAAAAACAATAAATAAAAAGATCTGCCAACTAGAATGCTGTAAAAAGAAACTGCCAATCCAGAGTGCCCCTTCCCTCCAGCTTTAAGGTGGACTTGGTTCTAAGCTTATCTTCTAGCCTTCTCATCAAACTCACCTTGTAGAGGGCATCTACTTTCAGAGTGAATCCATCCACACCTGGCATACTGCTGACCACATGGAAATCGGGCAACTCAGAAGCAAAGTGGGCCTCGAAAGGTACATCATGGAAGTACTTATCAGTGACCTCTGGCTGACTGCGGTCCTGGAATTTCAGACAGAAGGAATATAGGCTTTAGAATGATGGAACAGCTGTACAGGTAGGTACAATCATGGGGAGGAGAAAGGCAGTCTCCACCGCTGCTTTGGGTCAGAGAATATATTGCAGATGGCTTCTCCTTAAGTCAACAGCTGTCTCTGGGCACCCATTGTCTTCTTTAAAGGAGAAATTTGCTGGGTTCTGTGATCTCAAAGCAGAGTGAACAAGCCTAGATCAAAAGCTATTTGGTTTCAAGTTATTTGGTCTCAAAGCCCTTTATACACTTAAAAAGCAAGGAGCCCAAAGAATTTTTGTTTATATAATTTCTATCCATCCACATTTATTGTGTTAAAAATAAAACCTGAAAAAATTAAAAATACTTAAACATTAAGTCATTCTAACAGGACAATGAAAAATTCATTATGTTAACTAAGATTTTTTTTCAAACTTTTTTTTTTTATTTGTAGATGGACTCAATGGCCTTTGCTGTATTTATTTATTTTTATGTGGTGCTTGCCTAGCTCACACATGAGCTACAACCCCAGCCCCTTAAGTGAGATATTTTTCAGTGAAAATACCTTTATTCCTCTTCTCCCCTCCCTCCCAAAAGATAGCTGGCATTGTTTTGCATTTTTGCAACACTTGAGAACAGAACTGGATTCTCATAACTGCTTCTGGACTCAATCAGTTGTGATATACTGTTTTAGTTGAAGTCTACGAACAAAATCTGGCCTCACACCGCTGTGTGGTTGGAAAGGAGAGGAATATGTTCATAGCTTTTTCAGATGATTTCTGTGGCTACTTTACAATACGAAATCAAAACCTGGCAAGTGATTTTTTAAGAAGATTAGTTACAATGTGGAGTCTCAAATCATATCAATAAACTTCTCAAGTTTTCTTCATGGATGAGGGAACAAGTGTGAAAAATTGGCCTTATCACTATACTGTGACAGCAGTTTTGAGCTTGTGGGCTCCCTGAAAGAGTCTCAGGGACACTGGAGGCCTTGGCACCATCCTTTGAGAAACAGTGACTTAGAGTTTCCTCTTCCTGGGCCATCAGTACAGCACAGTGTTGTTACCCGCTGTCATCATCACATTTGGTAATGTATGGGAGTATTTAGCTGATCAGAGAGAAACAACAACGTGTGTGTGTGTGTGTGTGTGTGTGTGTGTGTGTATCATTAAGAGTGGGGCTTTATCAGCTTTAGGCAGAATTCACAGCTGGGGAAGTCCCCTGGTTATCTGCCTCTCAGCACTGACAGCTTACCAATAGCAGAAATCTGTGTTTCAGGTGTTTGTTGGGCTGAATACATCCGTACTGTGGCCCTTCATTGTAGATTGTTCCTGTAGGATCAAAGAAAGGCACATAGCCGTCCTTGCCAGTACAAAGATAGACTTTCTCCAGCTGCAGTTTGTAAGCAGAATTAAGATTTTGTTCTGGATTCCAAAGTACTCGGCCATAAAGGATTTGACCTGAAAAGATTGAAAGATATTAATTAGGTCAGACTTTAAAGAACAAGAAATGTCAAGGGTAGAAAGGATTTAACATGCTCCCTTAGAGTCAAAAGTACCTTTCTCTGCTCATTCATCATTTATCGCTGCTTTAAATCTATAAACACCTAAAACATTATTTAAGCATTTAAATTAAGCCAAACACTTGGATATGTGCAGGGGACACAAAAATGACTGAGAGGCAGGTGAGAGGACAGACATAAAAGCAAAGTGTTTGACAGAAATAGTTAACATTTATCAAACTCACTACCTGCTAGGTGCTGTATTAATGTCCTAATAACTCATGTAGTGCTCACAGTTTCAGAGAGGAGGAAACCGAGGCACTGAATATCTAAGCAATTTGTTCAAGATCTAGCAATGGTGAAAGTGAGATTCAAAGTCAAGGCACAACCTGAATCCACAGCCCACCCTATTAACCCCTACAATGCTATACTGTCACATGCCACAACAGAAAAAGGTTAGTCACACTAAATGAGCAGAGTTAGGCATAGAAATCTAGCTGGGGAGAGGCAGGGAAGGGTTTAAGAACAGGCTATTAGAACAGTGTACTAAAAAATAAGCAGGAATTTGTCAGTGCATTTGGGGTGGGAGGGGAAGGCAAGAGAGAGAATTCTAGGCAAAAGAAAGTCCATGAGCAAAATACTGAATGCTGGGCAGGTGAAAATCTTGGTATGGGCACTGTTTCCTTTGTGCCTGCTACAGCACCAAGTTCTTTACCTGCACTCTCTTATTTAATCTTCCTAAGAGTTCAAGAGAGGCTCAATCATTGTTGCCACTTTAACTCATCCAAGGCTCACATCAATGATGAGGTGGGAGAAGAATTTGAGCAAAAAATACATCAGACTCTAAATGCTTCTCCAAAGCATTAATTGTGTGTCAAAATTCAGTCATCTTGACCAAAGGGGAAGATGCAGGTGCAGAGGCTCTGGCAGTACAGACTCCTGGGCAGAGAACAATCGTGCTGAGGATGCTGGACATGAATACATGACTAATAAGAAACATGGAAGCCTTTATGCAGGGGAGGAATRGCAATACAACCTGGCTTTAGAAACACAGAGCAAGGAGCAAAGACAAAGAGACTTGAGTACAGAAGACAGGAGACTATTTTAAGGTTCTAGTSAGGGATAGGCATCTAGAATACAGCTTTGAGGCAATGAATTCAAGAAATGTCTAGGGGTCAGAGTCCGTTCATCTCAATAACAGATGGAATGTAGAATGTGAAGAGGAAGTTGAGTACAAATGAGATGTTCACCAGGGACATCTAGCACAGGGGATGCCATTCATGGAGCAACAGATGGGGGAGGAGCAYGTTTGGAAGGAGAGAAGTCCAGTCCTAGACACCTCCAGGTGTCTGAAGGAGAGCTCACTTGGGCTCAGCAATTCCAGATCTGCATGTGGAAGTGCAGAAATAAATCAGGAGAGATCAGAGATAAGGTCAAGGTTATGGCTGTGGGGTATGAATATTGAGAGTAAAGGAATGGCCCAAGCCATGGGGATGACCAGAGGAAGCACTCAAGAAGAACAGAAGGAGCCCAAGAATGGGACCTGGGAATAGCAACATGGAAGGGGCAAAGGCAGAGGCCCAGGGCAGGAGAGGGAGAAGTGATGCAAGGGGCAGGAGAGAAACAGAACAGGATCCAGTGTCTGTAGCAAAGGGGAGAGGAGAGGCCATGAAAGGCCATGGAGACGAAGTGTGCTTACCACTTCTTTAGGAGGTTTGACAGAGAAAGGAAAAGTTTGAAGCTGAGACAAAAGTAGTATTGAGGGAAGGTTTATTTCTGTGACGTGTTGGACTTCAATTTTTTTTTCCTTTATACCTGTGGGGTGTGTGTGTGTGTGTGTGTGTGTGTGTGTGTGTGTGAGTGACGCTGGAAATAAAATCCAGGGCCTCATGCATGCCAGTGATGTGCTCTACCACCTAGTTACAGATCTTGCCCCTTGAGTATGATTTCAAGATGAAAAAAAGACTCAGATATGAGAAAATTTAAAGAAACAAAGACAGTCAAGAGACAACTGAGAGAGAAAATGCAGACAGCTGAATCATTCATTTTTTCATCCACTGATTATTTGTTGAGCTCCTGGGGATGGTGCTGTGATGTACAAATTTGATATCTAGTCACAATCTCATGGAACTTACACACTAGTGGTAAAGAGACACAATAAAATAAATACATATACAATATGCATAATATTAAAAACCGTGATAAGAACTACATACAATGAATAGCATTCTGCAAAAGTGAAATATGTGGAGCCCATGTTAGATTGTCTGGGGTGTCAGGGAAAGCCTCTTTGTGGTGTGTGTGTGTGTGTGTGTGTGTGTGTGTGATTAAGTAGAGCCCTGAGGGACAAGGAGCAGCTAGCCTTTTGAAAGGCCAAGAGAACATGTTTAGGGGGCAGGTGAGGGACTGAGGGATCATTTCTAGCAGAGAAAGCATGGCAGAGAGTATATGTGGCATTCCTTTGAGGCTGGGAGCAGTGGAGGCAATATTATAACCTAAGAAACTGGCAGRTAAAGCAACTTAACTCAGAGTTAGTGTGTTATAATGCGATTGGAAATACCAGTCTTCTTACCACCCAGATCAGTGCTTTTCCATGGTAATACACTGTCAATCATTTAGGAACTATGAGTATGATATTATTTCATAGCATGAAGAAAGAATGAGTCTGGTCCTGTCTTCACTGGGGAGGTAACTGAGCGCTGAAGAGTAGGGATTCTACTCCAGGAACTTTCTCATGCTTAGACTGAGCCTCTTTCTGCAGGAAGAGGAAGCAACTCACCTTTTGAAAAGGCTCCTTTGTAATCCATTTCTGCCAGTGACATGTCGGATGTGTTGGGATCCATTAGGAACACCTTCTCATTATTGCAGAGCTGAAATTCAGTATTGAGTGAATACACCACAGGCACAGGACGGTTGGTCTGCTGGAACGCAATGGGTATCAGGAATCTAAATGTGGGAGAAATAAGAGCAGGGTTAATTTTGCATTTGAGCTGCCATCTCTTCCCTGCCCATCTCAGGACTGGGCACAGAGCTTTGCTTTGGGCACTGAATATTTACGAATAAAGAGACATATGTGGGAGAACGACTTTATTTGATCTTTATGAGGTTGATCTGTTCTTTTGAACCGGAAAAATTTAATTAGTCTTTGAAACTCTTTGGTATCCTTTGCTTTTTTCCCCCTCTTTCATTCTGAGGGCCCTCAAAGTTGCTCTTTGATTGCTAGATGGCTCCCTTCCATGGTGTGTGCGCCAGAATTCTTCCCAGTTTGCATGCCCTGAGACTCTCTTACTCTTCCACCCAGGTCAATATTCACTCCATGTGCCACTTTTTAGGGCATTGCTAGGAGACACTCTCTTACTCACACCTCCCTGGCCTTCTTCCTCGGTCCCTTCTCTGCCCCTTCTGGTAGGTAAGAACTCCCCCAGGACCAGGGGCCTGGGAGCCCTGATGTTCTCTGTCAATAATCTCACTCCAGCCTTGACATTGAGTCCATTTTCCATCCCCAAAGTAGGGATGCCATGTTTAATTCCCTAATCCTGATTTCTCTTCTGAGCTCTAGAAACACCTATCTGCCTTCCACTGACTGCTTCTCTGATAGCTTTGGCTGTCTCAAAGATACCTCAAACTCGACCTACTCATCTCTCACAAACTTGATCTTCCTTCTGGTGTTCCCATCACAGTGAAGTCCGAGTCCTCCTAAAACTGGTYTTCCTGGAGTCACTCTTACTTCCTTCTATTTTATACAATGCAATCAATGAACTCTATAATTTAAAAAAAAAACACTCATATTTGTTTATGACCTTTCCATTTCTAGGGTGAAGAACAACATTTTAACAAGACTCATAAAGCCCTGGCCTTTGCTTATTTCTCCAGCCTCATCTCCTGCTCCTCTCCTTCTTCCCCTCCTTTCTGGGATTTAGCCAGAATGGCCTTCTTTGGGGCTCGTGACTGGTTCTCTTCTCTATGATCTCCRCTGCCTCAGGAGTCATGCATTCAGATAAACACCAGGCATTAGTTTCTATATGACAGACACTAATCTAATAATGGAGATTTGTCTGTGGACAAACCAGAAAATATGGTCCCAGGGAAGTTATACTGTACTGAGGATGTAGTCCGAAAATAAGCTTAAACATAATATAACATGCTAGAAGGTAACAGGTGATGAGGAGAAAAATTAGGAGAGACAAGGAATGCTAGGAGAAGGTTGAGATGAAAATCCTAAATAATATTGTCATGGATATAAATTAGCRCAGCCATTAYGGAAAACAGTATGGTTTTCAAAAAATTAAAAACAACTAGTTATCCCACTATTGAATATATATCCAAATGAGATGGAATCAGTACACTACAGAATAGTTGCACTCCTGTGTTTGTTACAGCATTATTCATAATAGCCAGGATACAAAAATAGCTAAAGTGTTCCTTAACACTTGGATAAAGAAAATGTGGTACAAAAGATATACACAATAAAATACTACTCAGTCCTGAAAAAGGAGAATCCACAATTTGTGACCACATGGATGAACCTGAAGAATATTATGTTATGTGAAATAAGATACAGAAGGAAAAATACTTCATGATCTCATTTATATGTGGAATCTCAAAAAGCCAAATACACAGGAAAAAGAGAACAGTAACTACCAGGGACGAGGAGGAGTGGGACATGGTGAAATGTTGGCCAAAGGAGGCAAAGTTGCAGTTAGAGAATGAGAGTGTCTAGGGTAAAGCATGATGGCTATAGGTCATAATATAGTTGCACACTGGATATTTACTTAGATTACCAAAGAAAGGTGACTATGTGAGAACACAGATACATTTATTTAGTAACCATTTCACTACATACATGAATATCAAACCATCTTATTGTACATCTTAAATATGWGCAATAAAATAAAGAAAGGAAGGAAAGAATTTCTCAACTCTGTTGTAGCACGAAAACAATGCTGAACCATGGGGTGTGGCTTATTCCAAAGTAAAACTGCATTTACCAAAGCAGGCAGAGAGTTGGAATGGTACTCTGGCTGCAGTTTACTGATCCCTGACCTGGAAGGTTGGAGCTACCCTTCACCAAGATGGAAAACTGTAGAAAGGAATGTATCTGCTGGAGAAAGATAAAGACATGTTTTGGACATGTTAGGTTTCAGAGGCCTGTCAGAGCCAAGTGGAGGTGCTGAGTAATCAGTTTGATGGACAAGTGTCAACTCCAGAGGTGAGTCCTGGAGATGTTTGCTTGTACTGAAAACCTCGAGAGTGGRGGATAAAGAAAATCCGTAAGGAAGTGAAAAGCCATTAGAAGAGACTGTTCCAGCCTGATCCTGAGGGCGTTCCAAGTTCACAGACTATGAAAAGATGGAGAACCAGCAAAGCAACAGAGGAAGAGCCAGCAAGGTTGAGAGAAACCTATAGTGTGATATCTCAGGTGAGAGAAGAAAGAGGTTCAAGGGGCAGAYGTTGCTCAATGGCTAAGTGCTGCTGAGAGTACTGAAAAGGAAGAGCGAGGCTCCATCCCAGGATCAGGAACAGTCATCACTGACCTTGATAAGAACAAGCTGCACTGAGGGCTATCAGGAGAAGCTTGGCTGAGTGCTTTAAAAGATGATGGGCAGAGATTAATTGGAAATCATGGATATAGACAACTCTCCAGAGGCATACTGCAGGAAAAGAAATGAGAAAAATGTACGTGGAGAGAGAAATGGAATGTCAAGACACTGTTGTTGTTGTTTTTGAAAGGTGGGAGAAGTTGCAACTTGCTTTTCAGCTGACCAGAGGGATTCATGGAGAAGAGAGAATTGCTTGAAATGTTCTTTATAAAGTGGAAAGAGACTTCAGGTTCTAGAKCAGAGGAGGGGAGGCTGCCTTTGGAGAGGAACTCAGAGCCTTTGTTTGTACCAACAGGTGTACAGGCAGAGATGCAGGAAGGTGGGTAGATATGATGATGGGAGCCTGTGTAAGTTCTCTTCTGGTTTCTTCTGTTTCTACCACATGGCAGGGCACAAGGTAATTGGCTGAGGTCAAGGACAGGAGAGAGAGCAAGCAAGTTCAGAGAAGGAATAAAACAGTTTAAAAAGTGGAAGAGTGGATGGGTTAGGGAAATAATGTATTTTGGTCAGTGGCCCTAGAGATCAATTTGAGATTAGTGATAGTGAACTTAAAGTTTTCTGGCTTTGACCTTGCTAAATATTCTGCCAGAACACACTCTCCTCTTACTTACTTATCCTTTAGATGGCAACTTGAATTCTTCTCTAGGGGGTTTTCCTTCTTGCTCTTACCTTCAGGCTAGCTTAGATCCCTTGGCWTCCATTCTCATATACTTTGCATGTTTCAATCGCAGAACTTCTCATGTTTTAAAACTTTATTTCAGTGTGTGACTATGATTGACATCTACATCAGCACTATAGATTCCATGGTTTCTGCTGGCTCAGCATGTATGCTCAATGCTAAATTCCTGATGCATGTTTTTGTCGAAGAACAGTGAATGAGTGATCACTTCACTRTTTCACTCTGTTTCGTATTTTGAGGGTGTCCCATTGGGTAGACTGGAGAGGATACAGGAAGAACTTGAAGTCCACAYAAGCCAGAGCTAACTCTGCTTCAGCAATGATATCACCATTGGTCATATCAAGAGCTCATCTGCCTGACTTGGGGAAAATGATTTTTTCTCATTGATACTTACACTACTGGAATCCACCACAATGCCTGGTGCATACRACATTAATGTTGATTACATGGGATATATAACAGACCTGAGATTATTATAATAAATAATAATTTATTATGCATTATAGACCTCACAAAAAGAGTTACAATATGAAACACAATTCTTTTCAATTAAATCTGAATTCTCTGTGCCAGTCCTGATTTTATTGTGTGTTATAATTCTAGAATACACAAATGGAGTCATGTAAGGAATTGAAAGCAAGGTTAGGCCTGGAAGAAAGAATGGAGAATCTATAAGTAATGGTCTCCCTGAGGTAAGGCAAGGACATCAGTATCCTCACAACACTCTCCCCCCTGCCGTCTCCTCACCTACACCTCTGGGCCTGGAGATGGGGCTGGTACCTTTCTTGCTCCATTTTGTCATTTTCAAATCATTGCTTCTCTGTCCTTTTAAAAAACCCAAGCACCTACCATGGAGAAACTGTTTTTTTATATGATTTATACCATGGAGAAACTGTTTTTTATATGATTTATACTAGGAAATGTTCACATATATATAAATATTTTTTTGTAATAGAATCTGCTACAATAAACTAAATAGAACGGTCAAATAAATTGTAGAATATTCCTACAATGAATACATTAATGCAGTGAGCCGTAAATGGCAGCTACATGAATCAACACAAAGGAATCAACAATGATCCATGGAGAAAAGAAAAAAATAGCAGCAGAGAGAATTCACACAATATGAAACTTTTACATAGAGTTCAAAAACATGCAAAACCATGACAGGTGACCATGAAGTAAAGCCATAAAGCAAAACTAGGGATTGCAAATACAAATATCAGGTTAGTGGTCATCTTAGTGGGAGGAGGCAGGGAGTTTGACTGGATAGGACATTTATGAAGGACTGGTAGCCAGGCACAGTGGCACATGCCCACATGCCTGTAATCACAGCCACTGGGGAGGCTAAGACAGAAGGATCTCAAGTTCAAGGTCAGGCTCAGCAACTCAGCAAGATCCTGTCTCAGAATGAAAAGTAAAAAAAGGACTAAGGATGTAGCTCACCGATAAAGCRCTCCTGGGTCCAATCCCCAGTATACATAAATAATTAATTAAATRGGACTGGTAATGCTGTGTTTCTTGAGGTAGGTAGTAAACACATGTTTATTTTACATATCCATAATTTATGGTCCTCTGAATATCTGAAACATTTTATAATTTAAAAATGCAATATATGGTTAAAAATTCCTTAGCATATCCTGTTGAGTTATTTGCCTCTGTTCTTC